TCCCCTTTTCCTTATGAATCAGGGTGAAGTCTCTCTCAGGGAGGAGTGATAGGGAATGGCAAAGGACACACTAACAAAGGAGATTAATCAGAACTGGCTTTGACAAGCACTGTGGCAATGGGACAATTGAAACAGACTTTCAAGGGGGGATAAAAATGAAATGGGGGGGAAGGCAGAGAAAATCGTGCAATAATGAATGAATGGAAACCTAAAATCTCTGTAAATATTCATTAAAATTAATAAAATTTAATAAAAAAAGGAAGAAAAAAAACCCCAAACCCTCCATCACTGATGTCTCTGTTGCTGTACAATGATAAGCTGTAGTAAGGCAAATCATATTCTAGATTCACAGGAGCAGCAACCCTGAAAATACTTCCACAGCCAGATGACAATTCAGTTCATTTCCTAACTTGAGTATCGCATATATTCTCACTGCGAAGCCCAGAAACATGCATCCCAGAACTCCAAGGATGCTTGTTTTCACTGGTTATCTATCATCCAGCTCTCTGCCCCGAGGTGGAAGACAGTGCTCCTGTCAGATGACAGCAGGAGGCCATTGCTTTACCAGGAAAAGTAACAACAAGAACAAAAATGGATGACTTACTATTCTTGACCCTGCATGCCAGTCCCTGTGGGGGAGAAAAAGAAAAAATAAGTTAAGTAAGGTTATTTCAGCTGCAACAGAAGTTTAATTTCTGAGCCAGTCTCCCAGGGCTTCCCCAAGGCTCCTTCTCAAACATCTTATTTAAAAAGTCTTCCCTTTTCACCTTCCAAGGCAGCTCTTACAGGGGAAGCCATTTCCTGCCCCCAACTCTGCCCAACCGAGGAGAAAGAGGAGGAGACCGGGGCAGGGCGGAGGATGGTGGGATGGAGGTGGCACCTGAGTTGGAAGCCTTAAAACTTGAAAAGATACAGCAATGGTTGGTTTATTTTTCTCATTTATGGCATAACCGCCCCCCCACCCTTACTGGTTTGTATATAATCATTCCTTGCTCTGTTTTGATGACTGCTTCCTGCTCCAAGTATAGCTTTCACATAACCACAATCAATTGTTCTGGGATTCCTATTCTTCTCAGAGTTAGCCAGTTTGTTGTGATCCACACACAGTCAAATGCCTTTGCACAGTCAATGCAACACAGACGGACATTCCTCTGGTACTCCCTGTTTTCAGCTAAGATCCATCTAACATTGGCGATAATATTCCTAGTACCATGGCCTCTTCCAAACCTATCTGGTAGTTCTCTGCTGATGTGTTATTTCAATAGTTTTTGATTAACTTTCAGCAGGATCTTGCTCACATGTGATATTAATGTTATTGTTCGATAATCCCAACACCCCATCAGGTCCTTTTTATTGGAATGAAAACCAATTTGGATTTCTTCCAGTCTAATGGCTAGGTCAGGAAAGGTATATGCCAGAGATGCATCCTATCTCCATACCTTTTGAATCTAAATGTGGAACAGATCATCCAAGAGGCTGGGCTCTACAAGAAGGAATGTGGCTCAGAATTGGAGGCACACTCATCCACAACTTGTGTTATGCTGATGGTACAACCTTGCTTGCTGAAATGGAGGAGGACCTAAGGCATTTGCTGCAGAAGGTCAAGGAGACTGCAGCCTCAGTACAGAATGGAGCTCAACATCAAGAAAACATTCTCACCACTGGGATGATTGGCAGCATCATGATAGACAGAAAAGAAACTGAAATGGTTAACAGCTTCAGCTTGCTTGGCTCCATAATCAATACTCTTGGTACCAACAGCCAGGAAATCAAAAGACAAATTGCACTGAGAAATCTGCTGTCAAGGATCTCTCCCTAGTACTGAAGAGCAATGATGTCAATCTAGAGACTAAGGTATGCCTGATCCAGGCCATGGTCTTTGCAATGACTTGCTATGCATCAGAGAGTTGGACAATAACTAAGGACGACAGAAGAAGAATCCATGTCTTTTAATTGTGGTACTGGAGAAGAGTACTGAATATACCATAGACTCTTAAGAGAAAAATAAAAAAGGTTCATCCTGGAGAGGGTGAAACCAAGCTGCTCCTTGGAGGCAAGGATTTTGAAGCTCAGTCTACATACTTTCGACATGTAGTAAGGGGGGGGGGGACCAGTCCTTGGAGAGGAACATCATGCTTGGAAGGGTGGAGGGATAGCGCAGGAGATGAAGACCCTGGATGAGATGAATTGACTTAATTACTGGTAGTAGGGGTAGGTGTGTCTGAGACAATGAAGTTGGCTCAATATAGAGTAGGATTCAGGGCTGTTATACATCACTATGCCACTATGAGTTGCAAGCAACTCAGTAACTCACAACAACATCACAACATATAATCATTCATACATGTTTTGTATACAAATTCACATACCTTATGTTTTATATAATTTATTGTCATTGCTCTATGCTTATTATCACCTCATCCTTTCAAGATCCCATTAAACCTTTCCCATTACTTCACCTCCCTCTACCCACCAACCTCCGCTATCCCAGTGATTTAAAAGGAAAAAAAATAGTAAAGATAGATTTATTAGAAAGCTATATCCCCAAAGAGATGGACCTCCTTTTTTAAAAACTGAGATTTTAACTAAAGTTTACAGATAAGTTGGATATTCACTTATTATTGTATGTTTTCCTCCCCATCCCCTAGCTTTTTTTAAAAAAAATATTCATTCATTATTGTGTAATTTTCTCCCTCACCCCCACCCCTCCTCCAGTCTACTTTGCTATGCACGTCTTATTCTGGACTGTTGTCTACAAATAAAGCCTAATCACATATTCCTTTTAAACAGTTCTGTCATCTGTTCCAATGCAGTGTTCATTATTTATTTCCTCTGTTCTTAGTTTCCTCCCATACTTCCATGTCAGTCCATGGTATATTCAATACTCTTTGCCAGCATCACAACTCAAAGACATCAATTCTCCTTCTATCATCCCTAGTCATTGTACGCTTTCTGCTTATTTTAAAAAATATAGAGAAAAAAGGAACACTCCCAAAATCATTTTATGATATTTTATAACAGTGGTGTTATGTAGCATTTATCCTTCTGTGACTGAGATATTTGACTCAGCATAATGTCCTCCAGGGTCACCCAAGTTGTGTAATAAGTTCCTGGTTTTTCAGTGCTGCACAGTATTCAATTGTGTGACTATACCATTGTTTTTCCATCCATTCATTTGTTGATAGGCAGTTGGGTTGCTTCCATCTCTTTGCTATTGTGAATAATGGTGTGCATATATCTGTTTGGATGGTAGCTCTGGTTTCTTTAGGGTATATTCCCAGTAGTGGAATTGCTAGGTCAAATGGTATTTCTATACCCAACTTTTTGAGAAAGCACCAAGCTGTCTTCCATAGTATCCCAGTGATTTTTCACTTCCCCCTTTTCGGCTCTTCTTCTCTCCTTTACCTTTTGAATTTTTCTACATATCTTATTCAGTTATCCTCCTATTTTTACAATAGTGGCCTTATGTAATACTTATCTTTATGTGACTGACATATTCACTTAGCAAAATGTTCTCTGGTCTCTCCCAAATTATATAGCATTTTACAAAATCATTGCTCCTGAGTGCTGCATAGTATTCCATTGTGTGAATGTACTACAATTTCTCAACCCATTTGTTTGTTGATGGACATTTGGGCTGTTTCCATTTTCTTGCTATTGTGAACAGCATTGCCATGAACACAGGTGTACAAATGTCAATTCATGTCTCAATTTCCATTTCCTTGAGATGTATTCCTAGCAATGGAATATCTGGATCATATGAGATTTCTAAGTTCAACTTATTAAGGGTATGCTAAACTGCCTTCCATAGTAGCTGTACTATTTTACAACCCATAAGATTTCTTTGGAGAGCAGTGCTTAAGAGTTCTAATACCTCTACATCCTCTCCAACATTTATTGTTTGTGGTTTTGCTGAACTTTGCTACTGCTGCTGGAGTGAAGTGGTATACCTCATTGTTGTTTTAATTTGCATTTCTCTAATTGCTAGTGATTTGGAACACTTCCTCATGTTTCTTAGCCATCTGAATGTTCTCCTTTGTGAAGAGTCTTTTATGTCTTTTGTCCATTCTGTGACTGAGTTGTGTCTTTTTCTTGTGGAGGTCTTGTAGTATTTTGTAAACTTTGGTTATGAGATGTTTGTCTGAAAGGTCACTGCCATTTTTTTTTCCTGCTGGAGAATGTTTTTGATGCACACAGGGATTTGATTTTAAGAAGGTCCCATTTGTTGATCTTATCTTCTCCCTCTTGTACATTTATGGGTATGTTCACAAGCCTATTTATTCCAGAGGCCAGGGCTTCTAATTTTGTTCTTATGATCTTTATGGTTTGGGGTTTTAGCCTTAGATCTCCAATCCACTTTGAGTTGGATTCTGTGTATGGTGTGAGATGTGGATCCTGTTTCATTTTTCTGTAGGCAGATGTTCCATTTTGCCAGCACTTTAAAGAGGCTATTGTTTCTCCATTTAGTGGTTTTTATTAACTTGTCAAATATCAATTGACCCTAGGTTGATTTCTAGATTCTCCCTTCTATTCCATTAATATATATGTCATCATACCAATTAGTGTTTTGACTACTACAGCTGTGTACCAAACATTTAGAGATGAACTATCACCAATCCTATTTGTTGTTGTTGTTGTTATGTGCTGTCAAGTCACCTGCAACTCACAGCAATCCCATGTACAGAAGCTCTGAACCCTGTTCTATCCTAAGCCAACTTTACTGTCTCTGACACACCTATCCCCATTACCCCAGTCACTGAGTCAATTCACCTCATAGAGGGTCTTCTCTTGCACTGTCCCTCCACCCTCCCAAGCATGATGTCCTCCAAGGACTAGTCCCTCCTTGCAAAATGTCCAAAGTATGTCAGATGGAACTTCAAAAGCCTTGCCTCCAAGGCGTAGCCTGGCCAGGACGAACCTGTTTGTTGTCCTAGCAGTCCATTGTATATTCAATACTCTTCTCCAGCACTACAGCTCAAAGGTATCAATTCTCCTTCTATCATCCCTAGTCATTGTCCAGGTTTATGCTTATTTTAAAAAATAGAGAAAATGAAGGAACACTCCCAGAGTCATTCTACGATACAAGCATAACCCTAATAACCAAAACCAGGCAAAGATATCACCACAAAAGAAACCTACAGCCCAACATCACTCATGCAAAAATCCTTAAAAAAAATTCTGGCCAAAAGAATTCAACAACATATTTAAAAAAAAATCATCACAACCAAGTAGGATTTTTAAGAGGAATGGAGGGCTGGTTCAATATAAGGAAGACAATGTAATCTGTGAGATGTCTGTGGCTCAAGGAACTGGATAGTTTGCTAATAATGTAAATAAAGGCAAATAGTGACTTCTGAGTGGGAACATATGTGTAGACCACTAAGGTAGAGATTGGCCCATTTTTGGCCATCCTGCCAGGTTTACATTAAGCAGGTTCAGAAGCAGAAAATCAGAATCTCACTACCACCAAGAAAGAAGAAACAAAGAATGCAGCATGACCTCTGAGCCAAAGGTTGCTGTGTGAGACGGAGTGCAACAGAGATTGAGACTGAGACCCTGCAGTCCAGATGGCAGCCGTGATCCCAGCGGCAGCAAAGGTGGTGGAGAATTAGAGACTGATATGAGCCAG